TTTTTGTCATGCTTAAATCATTAAAACTTTAAAAATTTTTTTGTCCGGTATTACCAATGTGCTAAAAAACAGTAACAGAGTACTTTCATACAACAACCAATGTTCTATTTTTACTATTGTATAAACTATATTTTTGTCAACTTTTTTTATTTGCCTGTAAAAACTTCTGTATTACTGATATTATTACTACAATCACTGTTTTATTATTATCACTACTTTCATTATATTAATGTTTCGACATTATATGGATCTCCTCTTTATTGCATTTTGTTCTTTTTTTTTTTCCCCGGTCTGAAGATTGATAGTGTGAAGAAGACAAAATTGACAAAATAAACGTTTTATTCAGTTTTTTTCTTCCGTACAAAGTCTGCGTTACATTTGAACAAATGTACAACTCGGTTTTGCAAATGAGACAAAAAAAAAAATGTGTGAAACAGACGATTTACACTTATTGGGAAAGAGATCAGAGTAATAACCCGACTGCAAATTTGGAAAGGTGTAAAAACTATTACAAAAAAAAAGGAACAAACACAAAGATATACTAACCAATCCAAAAAGAATGAATTAATCTCAGGAACGTTTAATAATGACACACAGAACTGACATATGACAGACGAATAGATAAGATACAATTTTTTGGAGTTTTTCAACAAAAAAAAAACTTTTCTAAGCCGCCCATTTAACATTGATGTGTTTTATCAAAACTGATCAAGTAAAGAGTGCAGAAGAAGATGAGTTACAAAAAAGCTATTTGGAAAAAAAAAAAAGAACACTAAAATCTATAGCAAAAATAAGACAAAATCATCAGTGTAACCAGTTTGAATTCAAGGTTAAAATGAAATAAAAAATTATTTCTAAACGTTATTTTTGTTCGCTTACTTATTTTTTTTTTATTTATTTTGCTGTTACAGCAGCTATCATCTCAACAGGTACTATGATACATTTGACAATAAAAACAAAAATAGTGAAGCGAGGAACCGGTCAAAAAAAATGAGCTTCTGTAAAGAAAAGCAAAAACTGGAGTAGCTAAGTCTGTAGCTTTCACGAATAGATAGTCACCACCTCAGCACCTGTTCCTCGAACCAGCAAAACTCGTGGTAGACTCTCAGTTAAAGCTTCAACAAATTCCATATCTAAAAAAAGTTTCTTAATAACTGTTACCAGAAACGTTCAACATAGCGGTAGAGAATTTAACAAGAGATTAAAAGAAAGTTCATACAATACTGAGCAACATCTTCGGTCGGCGGACCAGGCAGATTGACGATGATTAATTCAGCGTCACAACTCCGCTCTCGCATCAATTCGTTTAGCCTAACAGCAGTGTGCATCTTTCTGGCATTAAAACTGGGTATTCCTCTACATGTAATTCCCTGATCACTTTT